ATTTCCCCAGAATATTACTCCATATTTTAGGTGTGAGTGCACATTTGCAAAATACATTGTTCGAAGTGACTCGATGTTGGAACTTGACCTGCGGGTGTATAGGGCATAGCAAGATTTGCTGAGCTTCTTGTTAAGATTTGAGTTGTGAGTGTAGTCTTCCAGGTGTTTCTACTGTTGCCACATCTTTAGTGCCCTTTTTAAAAATTTGTTGGTCTACTTATTTTTATTTTCTAAATCCTCCTGGGTGTGGTTAAAGATACTTATGGTATTTCCAACATTTAAATATGGATAGTTAAACATTTTAGCTCAAACAAGTTTTTAAATATTTCAACGTAATGAAGCCTAAATGATCTCATTTTTTGTTAAGGGAATGTGAAACTGAACAAATAAAATTCCTTATGTGAAATGTGAATTTTCACGTTCCAGTGTGTATTTTTCTAATGTGTCAATTATGTTTATTTTGTGGATTCTTTCTACAAAGGAAACTAAGTTTTATTGAATAAGCCAATGGATATTGGTCACTTACCAACAGTGACTAACACTCACAAAGTATTCACATAAATACTGTTGACTCTGGTTATAGTGAACTTCGGGGGGCTATGTTTGGTTCACTATAACCCAATGTCAAAAGTAATTGGAATTTCTCCACAATGGTTGATTTTATTAATTTATGTAGGTAAACAGAAAATACATTAACAGCACGACATGAAAATTTCAATATCTTTATGTTATTAACAATTTCAATTATTTCAAAATGTTATCTTCGTACATTTTTCATCACTAATTTCTCTAGACCCTTCTCCCCAGTTCGTGCCCTCCCTATACTTGAGCCAGCATTGTCCACTGCGCCGCAGTATCGTAACGTAGTATGCGGTCTTGGCATCCTTCAATGCCCTTGCACTGTTGGGACACCGTCCCCCTCTCCGAAGGCCCCTCTACTCGCCTGATAACGTACGAAATTATTTGGGTAGCCGCATGGGGCAAGCGGCTAATGAAACTGATTGTGGGGCCGTGGCAGTCGTGCGCTTCCTGTCCTCTACGTAGAATACAAAGCGCTTTGACCTGTGGAATATCACGTAATATCAAGGTTGAAACTGAGTGTCATCAGTAAGGTCCCCATTCCAGGTCCGTTAAGTTCACCTCAGGGGAGACCCGTGATTTTAGTTTACTATTACCAAGGGTTCACTATATCTGAGTTCACTACAGTCGACTGTAACAGTGTAGTTGTGAAGTGTTTTATTTATTGTTACGCAACAGTGTATCTAGGATGGAGTCAGGGGACTATTGACAATCTGCATTTAGCCTTCTACAATTTTGAAAAAGAAGCTGGTTTTGTAACCACTTTTATTCTTGAAATAAAATTAATTACATAGAAAAAGATTGAAAAAAAATAATAAAAGGAACATTTTATATTTTATCAAACTTGGGCCTCCTATTGTCATATTGAACATTTTTTATTAGGGCCATCACTTTTATTAGGGCCATTATTATTTAAGCCATCATCAGATATCAAAATCAGGAAAAATAATCTTATTAATTAATTTATTCTCTTTCTCCTTTCATTGTATTCACAACATCAAATAAATTTTAACTATTTTTAAATAACATCTAATGAATCAAATACAAAATGTAATTAATACTTCATGTCAATATCACATTATAAAGAGCTAAATGCCTTGCATTTGGTTGAGAAATTTCTAATTGCTTGGTGGTGCCTGACTTATTTGAAGCTGAAGAACAGGTGAATCTAACACTGGTTTTTGATACTAGGTTTGACTACTACCAATATTATAAAGAAGTTCCCTTATCACAAGGAGACATTTGAAAGAACTGGGGAGTAGTTTAATTGCTTAGTAAAAAACCATCTTTAAAGGGCATTTTCATCGAGTTAAAAATGTATTTGAATTAAATGTACCCAGATTCTATTTGTTAAACTTTTTATGCAAGTCAGTGCAAACTGGTTATGGTCATGCAATGAGAGTTACCAATAAATTTCCTTGCAAGTTAAAATTGATACTATATTTTTACATTAGTAAGAATTTAAATGGCAATTTATTGAAGTGACTTAACTGTTGTTGTAATTAAGGCCACACATTTAGTCAAATACAAGACCCACTAATATCTGAAGAGCAAGATGGTTTTAGAAAGGGGTGAGCTTGTATTCACAATAAAAACAATTATTGAAGAAAGTAGGGAGTTTAATTTCAAAACACATTGATTTCATAGACCTAAAGAACACTAAATGAACAGGATATTGCTTTGGAGAATTCCTAAAAGACTGGGATCTCCAAATCGTCTAAAAGGAGCTATTAAATGCTAACACTAGGACAACGGTGTGCTTTGATTTAAATGGTAAGTTAACAAAGGAGATTCCCACAAATATAGGAGTGAGAAATGGAGTGATGGCATGTTCAGAACACAGGCAGATAAAGGAATTCATCTGGAGAAAAATGAGTAATTTTATTTATGTTACCACCTAACCACCTTATTTTACCACCAAGTAATCTTGCAAGATAATGAAGATGTGCTACAACTTGAGATTCATACCTAAATAAAATTGTAAAAATATACAATTCTAAAATTTCCACCAATAAACAATGTTTTTAAAAGCAATTTCCCAGTTAGAACAAAAATTGTAATTGACAACAAAATTTTAGAACACGTGAAGAGTTTTAAATACTAGCTATGTTACATATGAAAAAAATATGGATTTAGATGATAAATTAACTAAGTTTAGATGTGTATGTGAAAACATTCCATAACTTAGGTGAGGGAGGGGCTATGCTATCTTGATGCAACAATGATTGAAAGGAACCCATGAAAAGACTAGAGAGACTGGCTATTTCTAGTGTTGAATCGGAATTCCTATTTTGTTTTACGGCCAAATGAAGTATTTGTTTATATTAAATATTACTGGAGAGAAATAAATAAGTCAATAAGCTAACAATAGGTACGTAATTTTATGTTAAGTTAGTAAACAGAAATAAGTCATAAGTCGTAGTCAATTGGGAAAAAACTGGTCAATACAATAAATAAAATAAAACTGGCATAGTAATAAGCACATTAGGGGGGTGAAGGGAAGGGGGGATCGAAAATGTAAGGGCAGAGGTGTTGGTGCGGACGATCTTCTGTGGATCCGTTTGATTTCAGGTGCTGAGGAGGCCAAGCACTGGAAGGAGATGGCGGGACGCCCGCGCCAGAAAATAAAATAGCTAAAATAAATGTCTGATAGATTAGAATGTACTCGGCTTCTGACGGCAGGTTTTTCCCCCTTCAGGGGTTTTTTCCTGAGCCGTACCTTGTGGTCTCTTTTCCGCGTCTTTGATGCGATGGAGAGACCATTTGGGGTGAATACCAGAATTCGAAAGATTAGAACGCGAAAGGATGTAGGTATTGTAATGGCTTAAAGGCCTTCGGCCTAGCTACATAGGATCAAGTAATCTAATTCGTTTGTAATAATTACCTATTAAATAAATATTAAATATTAAACACTGCTTACCTTGCATAAAACTATAATAGATTCGAATATACAAGTTAATATGAAAATTATATATTTTCATAGTACAACTCTTCAAAAGCCATGAAGTGCATCTTTAATTGAATCTTAGAAAATAAAAATAAATTTGCAAAGTTTCTGACAATACCAGAAAGTTACCTTTCTTGATAAGTATGCAAAGACAAATTGCATTTAAAAAATTAAAAAAATCTACTATGTTCTTAAAATATGCCGTTTAATCCTGCATTCCATTTGGGTAGAGTGACCTAGGAGGAAGAAGGAGACAACAGAAGATATTACTATAGCCATTTTTTCTTTATTTTCAACATGGAACATTGTAGTTTCATTTTCAGTTTTTGAAACCCTTGCTCACCTATTTCCAGTAGAAACTTGTACTATAAAATAATTGTAAAAATGCTTTAACCATTAAATTCAAGAAAGAAAAAAATATTTTTTTCATGAATTTGAAACTTTGTATTTGAAGATGCTTGTAAAATACAATTATTTTAAGAACATGATAGTGCCCAAACTTTTTGAAAGAAATACAAGCATTCATAAATATAAACATTGAAAGACATTCGTATTTGTTACATCGCAATGCATCATATGTTATTCACTTAACAGTAGTTGCTGACATAATTTTTTAAATGAAGTGAGATGACATTTCTTTTTTGTTTCCAAATCTTGTCTTCATGTACAAAATGTTTTGTTCTTTTTTGCCTAGGAAAATGGCTTTACTTCACCAGCTTGATCTTGAAAATAAAACAACATTTCACTCCTTCTTCTTCATTTGTAAGTCTCCATTTCACATCATAAGTTCTCTGAAAAAAGAAAAGTGAATGCTGTTCAATGGATTGAATCTCTTTTCGAGCAATGGCAATAATTAATTTGTAGTTTATTAAATCAATCTACATTTGTCTACATGATTCTGAGAAATTTTGGACTTTCAAGGAAACATTGAAACCATGCTTTTTCAAAGCGAAATCCAGGAAATTGTTGTTTTGAAAGTTTTTCATTTACAGAGGGTTTTACTTCAGCCATGTGCAGTTTTGATGAAGATTTTACAACAAATTAATTATTTGAAAAAATAAATTATTAAAGAAGGGAAAAATACTAAACTCTCTTTTAAAAAGTTGTCAATGAACTTAAACTTTCAGTCAATTGAAATTTCAAACCTTATTTTTGAGTTAAAACACAGTTTCCAAACAATTGAAGTAAGAGATTTCAGCATTTCAGTTATTTGTTACAAGTCATGGTTGTGGTTGAATTTTACCAATGGTAATGCAGTAATTTATCTTTTGATAATGGGAATAAAGAATTCATAATAAATAATGAAAGGTGAAATACTTTAACCAAGCAGAAACCGCTAGTTCATAAACCAATATACATTTTTCAAAAATTGACATTCATCAATTGATTTATCTCAACTTAGGTACTACAAATTTGAAAATTATACATTAATTTAAAATGTTTCCTTACATAGAGTATTAGTACATTTTACAAATGTTCTAAAAAATAATATTCTAGAATTTTGTTTTAAATTTCCTTTTGAACTAGTAAAAAAAAAACGCTTAAAAGAGTGATCAAAGTGTAAATCGTATTAATACCTCTGAAGTTTTCAAAATTGCTCAAGTTTAGTGTTTTTTCAAACCTTTTTCACATTCAATAGTGAAGCTAAACATTTTTTCTTAAGGCAATCTATTCTTCAATATTAGCACTAATGATTGTACATTTTTCTGAAAATATTAAAAATTTTTAGAAACTTTTGAACCTAATTTTCCGAACATTTGTTAACACAATTATCTACATAACACTCACTGTTTTCTTTAAACTTTTTGTGTCAATTGAGCAACACATTGAATCACATGGTATAAATTCTATATTCATGAAGTTTCTACTTTCTAAGACTGGCAAAGAAATGAATAATATATTTCTTTTTGCACAAAAGTCAGTGAATTGTTAAAATTAAATAAAAACACACATTCTTACTGCACACTCTACAACTGCACATTCTTATTTTTACTAAACTGTAATGTTCTTGTAATATGGATACTTTGAAAATTGTATCCATATAACTCTTCAGCCATCTTAAGAGACAATGTTCTGCAAAAGAAAGGGGGATATTCAGATTGGCCTTTCGAATGTAAGAAATTTTGAAAAGTTCAGATTTTTAATGAAAATCTTCTACTAATTTTATGAGTGCACCTTGCTCTGCTAGAGGAAAATAAATGAAGGAAAAACAAATTGTGAGAGAATCCAACCTGGCCTTCAAATTGTAAATAAGTAAATAAGTTAGAGAAATGTGCATTTGCTAAGGGGTTGGCCAATACATGTGTAATTCATTAAGGAAACTTCAGATGTTTTACTACAGAAAGTAACAGACAAATCAAATTATTATGACAACACAAAAGTACATGAAAACTAAATTTTTCAAAAAAAATTGCATAAAGTAATTAAAGAAGTAATTGTGAAAAATATATTGGATTAAGAAAAAAGTCTTGCTACAATATTGAAAGTAGAGGACAAGTATGAAAAAATTCTCTTGCCAATTTTTTAATTTCACAGGTTTCAATGAAAATTGCATTGACGCCACATTATGAAGTAAACAAGCTTTAGTGAACAAAAAAAGACAAAAAAATTGCAAACAATTTTTTAAATTTTATATAAACAATATTACATTTTTTATTATGAAAACTTTCGAGTTAGCTTGTGTCCGTTCTACACCCCCATACATACGCACCCTGCCCGTCCGTCCCCGCCCCCAACTCGCACCCTGCCCGTCCGTCCCCGCCCTCAACTCGCACCCTGCCCGTCCGTCCCCGCCCCACACACATACACTCACCCACCCTGCCCGTCCGTGCGTGCATGCGTCCGTTCCCCCCTGCGGGGCCCCTTTCTCTGTGTGTGTGTGTGTGTGGGGCTGCGCGTGCGCGAGGCCTCACCACCGGGAACTTCTTGCTGAGCGGCAGGCTCTGCGCGAAGGCCTGTCGGGCGTTGGCCTGGATGGGGCAGGCGGTGTAGCCGCACGAGTTGGTGTCCATGCCGACGAGCGGCAGGTCGGTCATGTCGTTGGCCCAGTAGGCGCGGCTGGTGGCGTTGTGCAGGGTGGCGGCGGCGGTGAAGTCGAACTCGATGGAGGCTGCGCGCCCGCGCTTCACCTTGCACGGCTTGTTCTCGGCCGCCTCCGCGCACGGCGTGATGCGCAGCTCGTGCACCTCGCAGCGCGGGGCCACCACGCTGCCGTCCTCGCGCGTCTCTGCGCATAAGCATAATCAGGGAAATTATGTACGGCGGGTATAGCAGTATCTCGACCTCTTTGGGCCACATTGAGCACCTGCGCATGCGCATGCGCATGCGCACACTCCCGTCGCCCAGGAACAGGACTTCTTCCATTTCGACCTAAACGCGCAAAACTTTTTCTCCACTTCACACCGATTGGTCGAGATATTTCTGTCTATTGCTGTACGCAACGTGCGGCAAAGTGTTTGTAATAAGCAGTCCTTGTTATCTCCTTTTCATTCACACACACGCGGGATTCAGTCATTCCAGGAGTTCAACTGCGAAAGTCATTAAGTCAGTCCCGTAAGTGTCTTGCATGCTCCGATCGCTGGAGGTGGCGACGATCTTTCCCCGCTGGATGGTGAGATCTGGTCCCACCTACGTCGGCTACGGGGCCCTTCCCCGACCAGGCCTCTCACACCAGTCGGGGCGAGATCTAAGCTCCAGACAGGAGCAGTGATAGTACAGTGCATGCAAGTGTAAGTGTGTGGGAGTAAGGGGGTGAGGATAAGGCAAGGAAGATAAAGAAAAGATCGTGCGTACGGTCCGTGGCCTCTTTGTTCCGGCATTCGTCTGACGTTGATCGGAAAATATTGAGAGTTAAAAGAATACCACGTCTCATTTTCATTGAAGTGATCCTCCTTCTACCCGCGAATAAATGAAAGAAATAATTTGGAACAGTTTTTGAGAAGATGATTTTTTTTTTAGAAGTTGCATAATTTCAAGCGCAAATTACGTGAAAACAACTCTTGAAAAAAATTGTGTAAGACTTTTTTAGAACAGTCTCTGACCGAGAAAAAATCTCAAAATTCAATTTTGTAGTTTACAAATGCTAACTTCTTGCAATTTTCGAAAAGAATGGATAGCTGAAAATGAGACTAGCACCATAGTTTTTACTGTCGCTTATTACATATGAGAGGAAACTTTGCGAAAAATTTGGAGCGCTTTTTTAGAAAAAAGTTGTTTTTTTAATTGTCTATACTTAACTTACATGAAAACTGCTTATATTTCCCAAAAATTGAAGAAGACCTTATTTTAAGAAGTGCTTAAGGAGCAGATTTCGTTAAGGAAAAACATGTATCTTCAATATTATAGTTGAGGACACCCAAAAAGTTGCACTATCGCAATTTTCCAAAAATTGGAGATTTTAAAGGAACATGAGATCTGCACCATTCTCATTAGAATAGTTTACATCCAATCCGACAATATTTAATAAAAAATGTGCTTTTTTTTAACATTTTGATAATGTCCCAGAGGTTTCATATAACGTATTCCTCAAAATTAAAATAGGAGTTTAAAATTTAAGGGGCTTCGTCATCAGTCAGATCGAACGGGGTATACCAATTTTGGTGAAAATCGGCTGAACAGTGTAGGCGATAGCATTTTTTTTACAGACTGACAAATGTTTTGCCGTCAATTTTTGGCATCAAGGAATCTCAAACCATGTATTCTGACTACATGTCTGAGGAAGTAATTTACTATATATAGGTCCATATTTTCATTTCCAGGAACCGACGTTAAGGTTTGTGTCCTAAATTTTCCCTGCAGTATTACAATACTTCCTCTAGACTGCTTAAGCGGTATATACACGTCGGATTTACGGAGGTTTCCCTCTCCTGGTATCTCCCACCAGCGGGGCACCGCCCCAACCAGGACAAACGCCATGATTCGGACTAGCCTCCTGGGTGTGGTACAGCAGTGCATGGGAGTGCCAAGTGGGTGTAAATAAGGGGTGAGAATAGGACAAGGAAGAGGAAGGAAGTAGGTCCATGGCTCGTTTGTTAGAGCACTCCTCCGGCATTCCTCCCTGAAAACTACAGATTTGGACAGCCCGCCGCTAGAGTTCTCCTCCAGACAGCGCAACGTCGGGACTCAATAATAGAAGCTCCCGGTCAGAGGCACTGCAGCGACCTCAGTTGTCACCCTCAGCCACATCAGCCGGTCAAGTATGTGTTCAATACATTTGATAAGTTTGAGTTGTATGTGAGGCAACTAATTCCCCTTTTCGAGTCTCCAATTACAATAGTTGTAATTGTAAGGTATTATTACTCAAGCGCAAAGACATAGTGTGATATCACTGGCGGGCCTAGACTTCAAAAGTCGGCGATTCACAAAGAAATGTGGAGGGATGGCTTAGATCAGACAAGCCCAGCCGTCCGTCAGCGAGACTGCGTGTACGTGAAAGGAGACTTGAACTTGTTTCCTCCATGAACTTATCATTTTTATTTCACGCGAAAAGCGGCCTGGGCCTAAAAGAGCCCGTCTCAGCGCTGGTGGCTAGCTGCTTCAGCGGATCTACCGTCTCGCAGAGGCCATGCAACTTGGTCGCTTCCGAGATTTTCAATGACCAACAAAGTGTGACTAGTTGGAATTTTCCGTTTTCTGTGCAGTAGGTTGGCGCCACCGCCGGAACTCAACTGCTACGGCCTCCCGGGCAGAGTCGCTGAGAGAACTGGTTCGGAGAAAACTCACCCGACAGTATGGGCAGACGGTATATGAATTAGGCTGTGTGAAAAAAAGAGTTGAAAGTGATTCAAAATGGGTTTAGGGGGTGCCACACACCTCTTAAACACTCCATTTTCAACCTTTTTCGTTCCTTTTTAGAAAATAACGAATAGATATTTAATGTTGATAAATCAACTGTGTTTTGGCTGAGGTCGTGCCCACATTACTCCGCAACAATTTTATGATCATTAAACAATTCTTAAATTAAACAAATCATTGAACATTACGTTTAAACCATAGAAATATATATTTTTCAAATGACCATAACTACGTAAATTTTTATCCAAAAGACGTTCAATTTATTTAAGATAAACGGTTCAAATCTACACTTTAAGAACTTTGCTTCGCACAATTTAACTATTTCACTGTAATCGGTTAAAACTGCGCCAAGCACCATCACTATTAACGACACACGTTTGTGCACGGCTGCAATGAACATATTTGTAGAGACATCTCATCGAGTTTGGAAATTACTAGACTTTATAGAACACTGCATTGCAATTGGAAGGCCAAGAGCCAATTTTACTCTTCGTTTCGGAGCGGGCAACAGTGCTCATGTCATCGCCCCCGCCGGCCTGCCCTGCGCCCCGCTGAAGCGGCACGCTCATTAACGCATTAACCTATGTCGCAAGCCATGACCTCTTAGTTGCGAAATTACGTAATCAAGTTCAATGAAAAACTAATTGTACCTAAAACACTCACAAATAAATGGGAAATATTTAGTATACGCCGCAAACAAAAGTGCTATTTTAAGTAGCAAACACGTGGCAAAAAATTCAACAAAAAGTGACGCCTTTGTGAGGTCCAACTCCTCTTTTGTTTACGCACCAAATAATCTCGTTCAGAGAACTGTCACCAGAGTATTTAGTATAGCACCGAGAAAGAGTTCCCGTCATATCCAGCGCAAAATTGAAATCCACAAAGCCGCAAAAGTCAAAATTATTATGTTCACCGCAAACTATAATTGTGCACAAATTGTTTACAAGATAGAAGTGAATGGAATAATTGAACTTCATATATACAATTTAATACTTATTTTAAACATCATGCTTATTAAGTTTGTAACATAAAAGTATTATATTTAATATAAGTTGAAGCAATAACCAAGTTGAACAATTGATGTGAAAAATTGTTAGTTTTATAAATCTGCGGTGCCGTGTGCCGCTTACGTTTTTGACTGTCTAATGCTTACACATGGAAATGTCAATAAATCATTAAACGAGATTTTAAAATGCAGAAGAAATCTGAAAATAGGAAAGTGTGGCTTTGCAGAATGCTGAATTACTAAAATCCTGTGACTGATTTTTTAATAGATCCCTTATATTTTGTTAACTTTAAAAAACATTAAACCTGGTTAGTTGCATTAAATTTCCCCTGATGTAGTACGAATTTAATTACTTCCTTGAAGCACCCGCTCACACATTCTATGCCACAGACTTTATGCTTCAACTTTATTTTTCTAAGCATTAGCAGCGATTATCTCGTATCACGCGGCAGCATTTCCCATATTTCGAGAGCTAAGCGCTGTAGGCCCAATGAACTTCGTAGCCCATTTTTAGCTGCATCATTAAGATTCAGCCCTCAATTGCAGAAAAAAGATATTGAAATCCCGGATATAGTTATCAGATTCAGTGTCAACTCTTTCTCAATACTGGTTTGCATGCAAAAAATTGCGCTCTACAAATTCTGGCGCTCTTATGACCGAACATAGCAGTTGAGCAAGCTAAACAAATTAGAGCAATTTCAGGAAAATTTTGAAATATTAAGGCTTTCATCTAAATTACTCAGAAAAATCAAAATATCTGTTTCAATTTCTGAGGGCTTTCGGAGTTCGTCCGGATCAATTGGGGATTATCAATGTGGGTGAACATTTTTTTGAATGGTTTGGACGCTAGCGTTGACAGACGGACAGACGTTTCGCCACCAATCAATTTTTCGTTATCAAGAACCAATATTTTGTGAATTCTGAGTACACAACCCATAATAGGACGTAATTGACTAAATGTAAGAACAATAATTATTCACCTTTTCACTACCCCTCGATAAGAGTTTTTCTATCGAAAAATCGTCGCCTGTACCGAATACGAATGCAGACGTCGGTGTACGTTCGTAAAAGCTTGGTATATGGGGATCTGTCGAAAAAGCCATAAAAATTTGTTTACAATATAATTATAACAAATTAGCTTACAAACTATTCGTGGGAAAAAGAATAGTTTTCCATTAAAAAACGAAATAGTTCAATAATCTTTAAAACTAGTGGTGTTGCACAAACGAGGGGTGCTAGCACACACTTTCACAATATTTATAACTTTTGGAATTTTCGAAAATTAGATCAACAAAAACAAGATATATGCCACTGTTTCGAACGTACTTCTATCCGTAGAAAAAATTGAAGACAAAGTTAATACAGTGTTTCTTAAAAAATGTTATATTCAAGCCGCTATTACACAAAAAATACTAGCCGTTTTCAAA